AGACGTGCCCCAACACGCCTGGCTAATTGATCTTGATTTATTGTAGAGACGAGGTCTCGCCAAGTTGCCCAGGCTGGTCTCAAAGCCGTGGGCTCAGGCAATCCTTTCACCTCGGCCTCCCAAAGTGCTGGAATGATAGGCGTCAGCCAGCGCTCCCAGCCCGTAGTAATAATTTTTTAAAAAAGCAATCCATGGTAAGACAGTATCTCATTGAATTTTTGCAGTGGAACAGCAAAGGGGTGACACTGGGTGCAGCAAATTCATCCACCATTTCTCCCACTGGCTCCCCTCAAGCAGTCCTCTGGTCCCCAGGGTGAAAGCCTCCTTGTCACAAGAAGTCCTCAGGAAGGGTAATGCCTCAGTCCTCAGTCCGTCAGTCTAGCCTGCCTTTCTCAGTCCCGTTCCCCCAGTTCTGGTGAATTAAAAGACCCCCTTATGTCATGCAAAAATGCCGTCTTTCTGTTCCACAAGTTGCCTACATTGGATTCTGTAATCTCCAACTATTTTGCCCTCTGCTTCTGTAGTTAGCCTGCTCCTTGGGTACCTGCAGCCTGGAACTCTGCACCTTTGAACAGGTAGTGGAACTTCCAGATCCCTGGTCCTGAGTGGCTCAGCCTATAATTGGGAGGCCAAGGCGAGTGGATTGCCTGAGCCCGCAGGTTCAAGATCAGCCTGGCCAACTTGGTGAGACCTTGTCTCTATAATAAATTAAAAAAAATTAGTCGGTCATGCTAACGCACGCATGTGGTTCCAGTTACTTAGAAGGCTGAGGTGAAAGAACTGCCTGGTCGAGGCTGGGGTGGCCGTGAATGCCACTGCACTCCAGCCTGGGCAAAGGAGTGAGATTCCAACTCAAACAAACAAACAAACAAACAAACACAATCCCCCATGAATAGTAACAGGCTCTCTCGGTGTCTCTTCCTGTAATTCCCTGGCAGTCGTGGTTCGGGATTTGACTGCTTAATCATTCTGTCCACTGTCCACTGTCCTGTGACCCAACCTCCTCCCAATGTATACCTTGCAACTAGTTGAACTTTGTGCCAATTCCAGAAAGAGGGACAGCCACTCAGGAGAAGTTAGCATGCGAACTCCTGACACATGACGCCAGAAAATAAATCAAGACTGATAACCTGGGAGTGATTCTGGACTGGTCCAGCCATCAGGAAATCCCTTCATTTAAAAAACAGTTAGTAAGACGGATCATGGAGACATTTTCTTGAAGAGGCCTCTTTAGTGGCATTTTATTAGTGCCACCGTGTGTGAAAAGTCACAGCCTGGCATTTGTGCGGCCAGGTGCTAAATGTCGTATCTTGGGCAATGTACAGGGTCTGACAGTTAGGTTTGTGACCCATCCTAGAAAAAGTGCTGCATCATTCACTGCTGAATATCACTATGGTCACCTTCGAAGTACACCCCTAGGGAAGCTATGCACCGATACCAGGGCCCAGTCCACCCATCAAAGCAATTTTGAAACTCTTTTTATGGAATGGCCATCAGAGCTGCCGTCATTTGTTGAGATCTGACAATTAACTTTGCAAACTTGCCACTGTGCGCTTACGTTGGCAGCACTGTACAAATAATTGTAAATAAATGTATTGGAACCCCTTCCCTACTCACCCGATCTGGCCCCCGATGACTTTTTTCTTTACCTAAAGATCAAGGAAATATTGAAAGGAAGACATTTGATGACATTCAGGACATCAAGGGTAACATGACGACGGCTCTGATGGCCTTTCCAGAAAAAGAGTTCCAAAATTGCTTTGACAGGTGGACTAGGTGCCGGCGTGGGTGCATAGCTTCCCAAAGGGAATATTTTGAAGGCGATCATAGTGACATTCAGCAATGAGGTATGGAGCACTTTTTCTAGGATGAGTTCCTCAAGCTTAATTGTCAGACCTTGCACGCATAGACGCCATTTTCTTTCCTGACCCCCAGCTTACTCTTTCTCGAGGTAGTTCAGATGCCAGGCACCATCCCGGGTTACCTCATTTTCTTCTTCCAATAGTCTTATGAGATAAGGTGTTATTATCGCCACATCAAAATGAAAAACTGAGTTTCAGAGAAGTTACATAACCAAAGTCACACAGTTGGTAAATGGTGGGGTCAGGATTCAAACCTAGTTCAGGACGACTTCAAAGCCATGTCCTGTGTCACAAAATGAACTTTCTGAGTCAGTTTCCAGTCTTATGTTCCAAGCTTCATTGAAGAGTTTTCCCATCCAGTAGGCTTTTCCTAAAGCCCAGAGAAACAAGACTAACTTAAAAAATAGGTTCTAAGCCAGGCTCAGTGGCTCAGCCTGTAATCCCGCGCCTTTGGGAGGCTGAGGTGAGTGGATTACCTGAGCCCGCAGGTCGAGACCCGCCTGGGCAACTTGGTGAGACCTCATCTCTACAATAAATCAAAAAATCAGCCGGGCTTGGTAGCGTACGCCTGTAATTCCGGCTACTCAGAAGGCTGAGGCAGAAGGATCGCCGGAG